GACAGCAGTGGTCTAGCAAGGAGTGCTCTCACCAGTCCGGGTGGGTAGGGCCGGGGCGCGCCGGAAGGAACAGGGCGGCAACCGCGGTAGTAGCGGCTCGACAGCGGCCTCGGCGGCTCGGTTGCTAGGCGGCTCGGCGGCTCGGCTGCTCGGCGGCTCGGCGGCTCGGCTGCTGGGCGGCTCGGCGGCTCGGCGGTTCGGCGGCTCGGCTGCTGGGCGGCTCGGCGGCTCGGCTGTTGGGCGGCTCGGCTGCTCGGCTGTCCGGCTGCTTGGCGGCTCGGCAGTGAAGGGGCCGGGGAGGGGCCGAAAGGGGCGGCGTCGGGGCCGCAAGGGGCGGCGACGGGGCCGCTAAGGGCGGCAACGGGGCCGCGTAGGGGCGGCGACGGGGCCGCGTAGGGGCGGCGACGGGGCCGCGTAGGGGCGGCGACGGGGCCGGTAGGGGCGGCGACGGGGCTGCGAGGGGCGGCGACGGGGCCGCTAGGGGCGGCGACGGGGCCGCGTAGGGGCCGCGAGGGGCCTGGACGAGCGGTGACGGGGCCGCTAGGGGCGGCGACGGGGCCGCGAAGGGGCCTCGAGGGGCCTAGAAGGGCGGCGACGGGGCCGCTAGGGGTGGCGACGGGGCCACTAAGGGTGGCGCGAGGGGCCTCTAGGAGGGCTCGACAGAAGGGCGGCCCACGGGGCGCGCCTCGGGCAGGAGCGACTCGCGCTCCGGTCATAAAAAAAAAAAAAAAAAAAAAAAAAAAGAGTCGATTTTAGTGGTGGGCCTTGGGAAGCGTTCCCACTAGGGAACCTGCTCTATACCATGTGAAGAAGTGAGGAATGAATGAACTAGCAAGCAGGTGGGTACAAGTAGGAAAACCTAAAAGTGTTGTACCACATATTGTCTAACCCACTATAGCCTACACAGACTATAGCATATGAGTTCGACAGTTTGTTGGGTGTGGCAAGGATCCGTCGAAGAAGCCGAGGATTTGCGCGCCTTCCATCATCAGCTCGAACTCGAATGACCAGGTAAAGAAGTCCTTTCCGTCGAAAGGTCTTGACGTCTGCAGCTTCAGGACGTGCGCGAACTGCGACTGAACTTGTAGCGCGTCCAGTGTCTTCTCTTGTTCAGGTGCAGGCTGCGGTTGTGGCATAAAGTTGACGGAGTCGCGCTGGGGCTCGTACGGAGCAAAGGTAGGTTGCTGCTGTTGATTTCCACGTGCTTAGGATGAACCATCGAGGCTCATTGGAATCACGTCGTTGTTGTTGTTGCTGTTGTGTGACTGCGCATGTACCGATTGCTGGTGTTGCTCGTAGAAAGACATGAAGGAGAAAAACTTCTCCATCATGCTCTGGTCGAAGCCTGCAGGTTGATTCGCGGGAGTCTCGGTGGATGTTGCCCTGGGTCTTGTTGCCGTACCCTCCTCTGTCTGTAGGCCAGAGGCAGGAGGTGGAGTAGGAGTAGTGCCGGGAGAACCAATAGAGGAACTCCTTTCCTTCTGAGTAGCCATGTCTTCTGATGTTGTAGGTGTCTTGATAGTTGAATCCCCCTGATAGCTCTCATACCATGTTGGGCTGAGAAATAGCCCTTAGGATCTTTGCAGGGGTGAGCTCTGGGTAGAACTGATGTAATAACGGAAGCGTTTAATGAAGAATTGTGAACCACCTTGCGCTAGTATGTGAGGGCAAAGTTGATTGATTAAAGCAAAGAGATACAAGATTATATACGGTAAGAGTACAAGGAATACGAAGAGATACGGTTCCAACTGTTTTACTGTTGCTGTTGCGGTTCGATACAGTGACGACTCGGGCAAGTGCTCTGTAACGAGTCAGTTGTGTGTCCTTGCTGTCTCGCTGTACTTGTCAGGTCAACGGTCGCTGACCTTTGACTTTCGCGTAACCTCCAGCAACTGATCAACCTCCGAGGGTTGACTCGCCGGTGCTTCGATATGCTTCGCTTCGCTTCTGACTTGGTGTTTCGACACGACAGAGGCGCTTAGAGTTAATTGTTTCCAACAGTCCTCACCTCACGTTTTGACCCTAAATTAACGTTTTCTTCGCCCCCGCATAAAAAACCCGGGGGACTCTCTTTCAGGAGGGTCCTATATACGGGAAACTACGGTGTCCTTATGCCTCACTTTTCATTTCGATGCGTGCATTCATCGCACATCAATCTGGCAAGGTCGCCTTACATTCCTGGAAGTGGCTGTTGTGCAACTTTGTGTCACCCGCAAGTTCCGCACAAAACAAACAGTACCGTACTCCTGACCTGACACGAGATGGAATACACATACATCCTTAGATTAGACCAGGGAACTTGGTTGGTTACACCATGCTTGTAGTGCAACACATACAGCACACTACCGGTATATCTAGAGAGTTTCTACACCCTTCTACATCCAGGTATCCGTATTTCACATACCGCAACCCGCAAACATTGCAAACAGGCAGCGAAGTTTAAGGTGCAGCACCTACTCCGGCAGTGGTTGCAGTGTGATCCTGTTGCAGCTCTCATCAACTGCTGTTACTGCGTGGCTGACCGAGGCCACATGTTCCTGCAGCAAGCCATCGACTCGTGTCACGCGCTGCAGCGTCTGCGCCATCTCTTCCACCTCCCTCCGTCGCTCCGCTCGGCTCTCTGCCACTGCCAACTGCGCATGTGCAGACAGACAACGCAGAAAGGAAAGGAAGGTTATGGTGTAATGCGGTTGAAATTATCCATGTTAGCAACCAGTGCAGTTGCTCCTAACTAGGGCTTCATTACGGAAAGATACTTCTGTAAAGAATCCAGCTTAGGGTTTGGACGTGCTTCTGGCCCACCTTGTATCCGGTTTCATGTCCCTCCTGCCTCTCACCTTACCTGCTGCCCTCCTGCCTCTCACCTTACCTGCTGCCCTCCTGCCTCTCACCTTACCTGCTGCCCTCCTGCCTCTCACCTTACCTGCTGCCCTCCTGCCTCTCACCTTACCTGCTGCCCTCCTGCCTCTCCCCTTACCTGCTGCCCTCCTGCCTCTCCCCTTACCTGCTGCCCTCCTGCCTCTCACCTTACCTGCTGCCCTCCTGCCTCTCACCTTACCTGCTGCCCTCCTGCCTCTCACCTTACCTGCTGCCCTCCTGCCTCTCCCCTTACCTGCTGCCCTCCTGCCTCTCACCTTACCTGCTGCCCTCCTGCCTCTCACCTTACCTGCTGCCCTCCTGCCTCTCACCTTACCTGCTGCCCTCCTGCCTCTCCCCTTACCTGCTGCCCTCCTGCCTCTCACCTTACCTGCTGCCCTCCTGCCTCTCCCCTTACCTGCTGCACTCCTGCCTCTCCCCTTACCTGCTGCCCTCCTGCCTCTCCCCTTACCTGCTGCCCTCCTGCCTCTCCCCTTACCTGCTGCCCTCCTGCCTCTCACCTTACCTGCTGCCCTCCTGCCTTCTCCCCTTACCTGCTGCCCTCCTGCCTCTCCCCTCACCTGCTGCCCTCCGGCCTTCTCCCCCTGCCTGCGGCCCTCTGGCCTTCTCCCCCTGCCTGCGGCCCTCTGGCCTTCTCCCCCTGCCTGCGGCCCTCTGGCCTGCTCTCCGGTCGCACTGCCTGTCTCACCTTGAGCTCCTGCTCCAGCTGAGTGATCTCATCGCCGCGCCCCTGCTCCAGCTGCCGCACGCGCCTCTCGCTCTCGCGCACTTTCACCACCATGGCTTCCACATGCTTCTGCCGCATCTCAATCTCCTCCCTCTCGTCCTGCTCCAGCTGCACATGCAATGGAAACGCTCAGGTATTTCAGAATGCACACATACACACATGTTTGTACAATCAAGGGACAGGGGTAGTGGAGAGCATGCAGAGTGGGGCGCACAACAGATGGCAGCCAAGCACACATGGACGCCCACAAGCTCCTTGGGCACCCGTGCGTCGCTTGCACCACAACAGGACAGGTTCTTCCGTCCCACGGCCCATTCAAGAGGCCCCGTTTTTTCACGCGATTCAAACCCTTGTGTGTCCAGCTATCACAATCATGCGCATCTCCCCCCATCTCAACACTCCCCCCCCCCCCCCCCCCCCCCCATCTCACCATGGTGCGCATCTTCTCCATGTGCTGCGCCGCTGCCTGTGCGTCCTTCGCCTCGCCCTCCGCCTGCTCCACCTCCGCCTCCGCCTCCGCCACCTGCCTCTCCCGCCACGCGCGCTTCTCCTCGTATGTGCGCAGCACGCCCGCCAGCCCCGCGCGGATGTCCGCCTTGGGGTGGCAGTCGCCCAGCATGTCCGTCCATGTGCCCGCACGCGGATTCACGCACACGTCGTATCGCATTCCGCGCGCGTGCTTCGCCGTGTCGGGCACCAGCTTGCGCCTGAGCAAGTACAGAAACAAGGAGGGACAGTGCACGCGCACGGACAGGATACGCTCAACATGACGAGCCGTGCGCGTAACACGGTCCTGTCGCGTTCCTGCGTCGCGATCTCCATTCAGCACACCCAGCAACCCTAAACCCAGACTGGCTCGCCTGCCCACCCGCCCGTCAGCCCGCCCGCAACTCACTTGGCGGCGAGCGCGTTGAATTCGTGCGCGCCTGCCTCCATCTGCGCCACCAGCCTCGCCACCTCCACTTCCGCCGCCCACGCCTCCTTCTCCGCGTCCTTGCGCCCCGCCATCACCGCCATGCGCGCCTCCTCGCGCTGCGCCTTGAGTGTCACCATGCGCTCCACCTCCGCCGCTGTCACCCCCTGCGCCTCCACTGTCGCGCGCAACCGCGCGTTCTCCGCCTTCATCGCCTGCGTTGCGCGACGACGCTCCTCCAGTTCCGCGCGCTTCTCCTCCATCGACGCATCTAACTCCTGCGAGGGGACACACACGATGGGATGGGCGCACACACACGATGGGATGGGCGCACAGGCCGAGGGATGCTCACACGCTGCTGGGCAGCCACCGCACCATGGGGTGGCGGCGGGCAGCGGCTGACGAGGCCGAGTTGTAGACCATCAACCTAGATGTTGCGCGCACCTAAAAACTCGCCGCGCTTTTATGAGTGTCGCGGATCTA